TTGTATAATTTATTAAAAATTCCAAAAAAAACATGTCAAAGTGAATTGATAATTAAAAATGATACCACAGAACTATCAAATTAAAAATAATTTCCAAGAAAAAAAACATTTTATTTTGAATAAAAAAGATACATTTATCAATCCAAAAGACAACAAAATAATTATAAAAAACAACATAAGAACATAACAATTAAATCAAAAAAGATAAAAACATTTTTGAAAGGTTAATAGGATTGTAACAGCAAGTGTTTTGTTTGACCAGAACACAGACAATCGTTACAAAACACATTTCTGTATAATAATTTTTAGAGTTGAACAATTCATACTTATAATAAAATATGAAGCCAGTTATTTATTTTGTTGATATGTTTATATTACTTGTGAATAATTTTAGTTTTAGTGAAAATAGAAATACATTTTGATTTAGATAGTTTTTCAAAAATAATACTAATTGAAAATTGTATATTTATTGGTTTATCTCAAAAAATGTCCAATTCATTTTGAGAATAATAAGTATCATTTTAAAATAATATGCACTAACCGGGACTCGAACCCGGATCTCCACCTTGGGAGGGTGAAATTCTACCCTTAGACCATTAGTGCTTAACATTATAAATAAATGTCTGTATTATTGTTTGAAACAAATTAAATAAAAATTGTATTTTACTGTTTTTAAAATGTGTTTGAAATCATTAAGTTTATTATTATTGTTTTATTATAATTGACAAATTTTAAATTTCAAAATGCAAATTTAATGCCTTAATATTTATAATTAATTTGTGTAATTTTGTAACTATATTTTTTACTATTATTCATTTATTTCCTAATTAATATGTGTATTTATAAAATTTAAATAAAAATATTAATTTGATTTTAATGATTATTCCTTGAGTTTTGTCAGTCTGTGTGTAAGTTCTTACACTTGACTTATTTATTTTTGGTTATTTAATTTCAGTTATTGGTTTTTCTATAATTATTAGTAAAAATAATTATATAGATATTATTAATTTGTAGTATAAATGTTTTACAATAGGGTGCGCAACCGTGAGAGTAAATTTTCATTTTTATGAAATCTTTTTTTGTCATTGTAAAAAATAGTGAAATATGTCATTTTATTATTTTATTGATAAAAATGAGCAATATTTGAAAAATCTGTCTTTATATTGAAACGTGTGAACATTATTTGATTAAAAGTAAATAAACTTTTTATTTGTCCCAAAAGTTGATAAAAAACAAATAATAATTAGAAACAACTTTTTTGATATTTTGTATTTATTTAAAGACAAATTAGAACGATTCATAAAATAAGATAACAAAAGAAATTTTTGTTATATAACTTAATAGATAAAAAAATTGACAGCAAATTATATAATTTGGTATAAACAACACATTGTTTTTTTCATTTCCAAATAAATTATAAAATTCGAAAAATACAACACAAGCAACATAATAATGAAATTAAAATAGGT